ATTCCTGCTCCCCACGCAACAGAAGTTGGCTCTGCATAATTCCTGACATCAAAAAGACCTTTGTCACCCCTGTTGTAGCAGCCACACGTCCTGACAGAGCCCTGACAGCAAATCCCTGGGACCCGTTGCTCACCTCCAGGCCCTGCCACGCTGCCAGGCTGTGCTTCCCCTGCAGGTTCGGAAGCTGCCAGGACCTGGGAAACTTGCTCTCCTCTAAAATTTGCACAAATTAGGGGTTTTTTTTTGGGTGTGTGGAGGTTGCTTTGCTTTTGAAGCTGTTGTTAGGAGTCATGCTGGAGTAGCTGCCTGGAAAAAGCTGCTCATGCTCTGAAGGGATGGTTTTCTGCCTGAGCAGAGAGCTGGGCTGACACATCAGCCTCAAAAGCTGTGTGGTAGGAAAACTGAAGCCCTGTTGTGCTCCTGCAGCATCCCATGGCCTCCATGCGATTACACCAAGCTTGCAGGAGCACGTTTGTGAGAGATGGATAAATTCTCCTGTGGGAATCCTTTCCCTGCCTTTGCATACACGTTTTAAAGTCCATTCATTTGGTACAGACAATGCTCCATTGTTTGCTCTGTGCAAACAAATGCTCATCTTGTACCAGGAAAGCTGTTTGTAGAAGAGTTTGGTGGTGTTGTTTTGGTTTTTTTGGGTTTTTTTTTTTAAGATCTGCACTAAGAAATAAATACCCAATCCAGAAACATAAAAAATAATACTAAAGCTCACCTACCCTGATAAAATGATGCAACAGACTGAATTTCAAACATTTATGACCCAACACCACTGCCAGTAGAAGGAACCAAGAGGAACTGTGTTGAAATAACCACTCTAGGAAAGCCACGACATGGCATCATCACCCTGCACCCAGGGTGGGAGGAGAAGCATTGACTGGTTCCTCCTCCCAGGGAGCTCACAACCCTGCCAGGCAACTGGGCTCTAGGGAAGCCCCACGGCTTTGTGGTGCTTCCTACAGACACATCAGGAGGACAAGCTGCTTTCTGCAGATGAAGACGACTTGTTTGCAAAGAAAAGGGTTTTTTTTAGTGGTTTGGGGTTTTTTTCAGAAACAAAAAGCAGGCCAGCCTTAAAGAGAGACTGCTGAGCCACCTGATCATCTCTCAACACCTTCACCCAGCCCTAGGTAAGTGTCTCCCACCACGCAGTTAGGGAGCACTTAATCCCAAAATGATGAGTGGAGTGCCCAATTACCAGAACTCCAAGTTTCCCAGTTACACAGCATTCTGCAAAACTATTTGATCAGCACTTCAGGAAAGAGTCACCACGTGAGCACCGTGCTGCTTTAAAAACAAGCATGGCTTTATCTCGTTGGTGAGAGGAGCAGCAGGGAGGAGGACAACCACAGAGCCCAGCACCAAGGGGAAAGCCAACAGCAAACTCACCTGTTGAGCTGCAGAAAAGGCAAGAGCCCAGTTGCTGATGGATCCTCTCTGCTTTCAGCCAGCCAAAGAGAGCAAAGCAAATTGGTAGCACAGCAGAGCTGCTTCCAGCATCTTTGAAGAGCTGGGACCTGAGGACTGCTTGAAACTTCTCTGGTCCAAGACTCCTTGGTTGCACTGGGATGTGATCCTCACCTGGCCATGTTCCTGTGCTCTGAGGGCTGTTGGGCTCGCCCTGGCAGAAGGCAGGCAAACCTGGCAGAGCTTCTCTCCTGATGTGTCCCCTGGTCCATCACAGTCCAGCTCCAGCCCTTGCTTCTGGTCCAGACCAGGCAGGAGGGAGATGCCACATGTGCCAGCAGTGCTCTACTGAGAGGAAACAGGCTGGGAACTGGTGGTCTAGGTTGTGTGCAACTGTTTTCCCCATTGTAAAGCAACAGATTGGCCCATACTGATCACGGCAGCTGAGATGGTCACAGACACCAGCCATAGGCCTGGCGATAAACACAGACCGTGCAGAGCATGCAACAGAGTCTGGGCAGATCTTGGACTGGAAATTCAGTATTTTCATAGCTGGAATCAGGCTGTTAATGCTGAGCACTACCTACTAGCAGGAAGGTGACTGGACCTGTGATTGTGCTGAGCTTGCCAGCATGGGAACAACTCCTCCTTGGAGACCAGACTTCAAATCCCAGATAGGTTATATGGAAACAGAGGCTCTGCTGCTGCTTCAATGGGGAAAGGAGGTGGAGAAACCTCTGCCCTTATTATCCCCTTATTTTGAGTGTGTTGGAGTTCCCAAACAGCATCAGCTAAAAGAGCCTTCAGGAGAGGGGGAAGAGCAGCTCAGGTCAACAGAAGGTAATTTTTCTCACCCCATAAAGCCAGGAGATGCTCCACAGTGGAACAGATACTAGGGGAGAATGTTTGTGAGATGAGAATTGCTGATTTCAGCAAGGGCTGAGCAGTGGAAGTTACACACGGAAGTGAAAGCTCACGTAAAGAAAGAGCAAGTGTAGATTTTCTGATACTGTTGGGTGGATCCTGCAGCCAAGGCTAAGGGCTGTAGAAAGCAGTTTCGCATCATCATTGACTCCTCGCATCATCAGTCTGCTACAGAAGGTCAGCCCTTCCCTTGAAACACATCCTGTGTACAGGACAAGCCCCTGAAATCATCCACTTCAACAGGGTTTGGTTTTGCTTGGGGCTTGGCTTCCTCTGCCAGCAGCTGAGTGAAGCGACCCGAGTCATTGTGCAGCCAACACCATCACTGGTCTGCAACCAGAGAGGCATCAGGGACACACAGCTGGAGGAGGCAGGGGGCTGCTCCTTTTGGTAGCTGCCTGCACTTGGACTGGACCAAACAACATGGAACTTCACCCTTTGGCCACCGAGCCCCTCTTCAGAGGTATTCAAATGACCAAGGAGTAAAGACCTGTTGGTTTTCAGTTTTACAGACAAATGTAACAAAATCTTTAAAAATATGGATTCACATGCAGGAGGAAATGTAGGGGGTTCAGTGCTGAGAGTCTGGGGGAGCAAGAGCCTGCAAGCCCTTTGTAGGTTGGGCTGCATAGGGAGAGGACTCACTGTGCTTTCAACTGTGTTGTAGCCTCAGCCTGCAGAGATGACACAGTCACAGAGAGGCACTTTCTACGTTTATTGCATGCAGAAGAACGACGCAGCTGGAAAACACTGGCCCTCCCCCCTTTCTGGGCATGACCACATTTAACCTACTGCCAGTGAAGTCCTTGCAATCAACCCCTCTTGGCTGTCACAGGAGCACCAGAGGGACTGTGGGGACCTCGGTGTGTCAGAACCTGACACGCTCACGATCACGTCGTCTTCCTCGCACGGCCAAGCTGTGTTGGGAAGCAGAGATAGCTAAGAGAGAAGAGTTTGCAGCCCTAAATGCTAGACGCTCCGTTCCTGTGATCGCTGCTGCTTCTGTGGGGAGAGGTGTTTTGAAGGGATGAACTCCTGAAGGAACCAGATCCAGAACATGCCTGAATCCATTCAGTGCCTGAACCGTGAGAGCTTGGGGGAACGGCTCGCTTGGTGGTACCGCTGATAGCCCTCTGACGTGGCTGGGAGCAGCAGGAGGCTGCTCAGGGAATCCTTCTGGCAGAGGGCCATGGCCTCCTTGTAATTTATCTTCTCTTTAGTGACAGGGTCAATGAGATCTTTTTCATAGTTGGACTCATCCTGGAGCCTGTTGGCCAGATCACCTGTTATCATCCCTGTCTGGACAGCTTCCAGCACGGGAATGCGACCTGTTTTCTTGGGATCAATGAGCCCTCCTGTTAGATGCTGGACCTCCAGGTAGGGGAAAGCGCTGTCCTTGGTCATCCATCCCTTCTGAACTGCTTCCCCCACAGACAGCCTTCGCTTGGTCACTGGGTCCTCAATCCCTGTGAACGCTTTCTGGGCATTGAGCAGTCTCTGCATGTAGGTCCTGTCAATCAGCCCCCTCTCGACTGCCTTGTGGACCGACAACCGGTCCCGAGAAATGAGATCTATGATGCCCCCCGTGGCAGCCTGGGCTTCCAGGAGCTTCTGAGCCGTCATGGGATCGAGCAGCTTCTTTGCGACAGCAGTCTTGATGTTGTACTTGGTGTCGGTGGTGGTGTCGTACACGCCAGCAATGGGGGATTTGTCATCACAGAATCCCTTCTGCGAGGCTGGGGGGAAGAAGCTTTGGGTTTGGTGGGTGGTGGGTGATGAGACTGGGGATTTGGAGATGATGGAGCCAATAGAGAGGGACGAGGGAGGCTTGGATTCCCCAGCCACCAGCAAGGCAAATTCGGAGATGGGAATCTTGCCGTCCCGGTACAGCTGGTACTCCTCCTTGGTGATCCTCCTCAGCCTGAGCGCGTCGTCGATGGAGTACTGCTTCCCGCTCTTCTTGTCAAGGAGAAGTGAGAGTTCCCCGTTTGGGCCCAGGGTGGTGACTTCCTCCCAGTCACACTCCAGCTCTTGCAGCTGGATGTACTGGCCTCTGTCTATGATACCTCTCTTGTATGCTTCATAAGGGGACATATCCTTGCCTGTCTCAGGGTCCAAGATGGAGATCTTGGTGGAGAGATTTGTCTCTCTCATCTGGGTCTCGTGATTGATTTCTTCCCGGTTGACCCTCGACTGGAGATCTCGAATGACCCTCTCCTTGTTGTAGATCTGGTCCTTCTCCCTAAGGATGTCTGCTTCCAGCAGGGAAAACTCGTGTTCCAGCTGCTTCTTCTTCTGCCTGTCATTCTCCGTCCGTTGGTTGAGCAGTTTGGATTCCTCCCGGAGGAAGAGGATTTTCTGCTGCTTCTGCCTCTCCAGCTCTCGCAGTTCATTCTCCAAGTTGGCTCTCTCCTGGATGGCCAGGTTCCTGGCTTTCTGCAGCTCCGTCTCTTCACGAGCCCATGTCCTCTTCATGCCTTCAGCTCTCTCAATCTTCTCCCTGAGCCACCGTACCTCCTCTTCTGCCTTTTGTTTGGCTCCTCTCTCCCTGTTCAGCAGCTCCCAGATTCGTGCACGTTCATTCTCCAGCGCTCTGTCCTTTTCCACTCGAATCACTTCCTTGTAGATGGTCTTCTCCTGGGATTTTGTTTTCTGCAGGACATCAACTTGCATCTGCAGGTTCTTGCATTCTCTCTGCAAGTTCAGCACCTCCATCTTCTCACGGTCCAGCTCCAAGCGCAGGTTGCTGGCAGACTGTTCAAGGACTGGATCCTTCTCCAACTTGACCACTTCTTCCATAATGATTTTCTCTTGCACTGGAGCTGGGCTCTCCTCCAGCTCCTTTATTCTCAAAGTAATTTGTCTCATCTCCTTCTCTAGTGCGAGCCTCTTGCTTCGATCTTCCTGGAAGTTGAGCAACTTCTCTTGCTCCTCCACTAGCGCACGAAGTTGTTGCACATCACGTTCCAGACGTCGCCTGTTGCTCACCTCCTCATCCAGACTCCGGCTCAGCCTGTTGTGCTCATCTCGGAGCTTTGGATCCTTCTGAGTCAGTATCACCTCTTGAACAACGACCTTTTCCTCTGGCTTTCTCCTCTCCAGCAGCATGTATTTATTCTGCAAGTCATAGATGGCATCCTCTGCAGCTCTCCTCTTTTGAGACATGCTACGCACCTCTTGGCGGAGGCGATCAGCTTCTTTTTCCAAGAGGGGATCATTCTCATATCGGATGACTTCCTTGTTGACCAGCTTGGTTTCCACCTTGGATCTCTCCCTCTTCCATTCATCTCTTTCACCCTGCAGCCTAATGAGCTGCTCTTGGGTCCTGCCATTGGTGTTCACTAGTTCATTGAGCTGTTGTTTCAGCCTGTCGATTTCTCTAAGGATCTCTGGACTCTTCTCATGTTTCACCACCTCCTCTATAACCTCCTTAAGCTCCACCACTGGTTTCTGTGACCTGAGGACATTGAGCTCTGCTAAGGCCTCTTCCACTTCACTGTCCATCTTTGTCCTTTTCAGAGTGACCTCCTGCAGCTCCCTTTTCAGGTGTGCAATTTGCCGCTCCGTTTCAGGATCCACCAGGAAAATCTCATTCACCCTCTCTTTAACCTCTACCCTTGGTTTTTGCTTCTCTGCAATACTGTACTGGCTCTGCAGCTCTCCCAGCTCACCTGTAAGCATCAAGTTTTTGCTTCTCTCTTCTTCAATCAGAGTTTTAAGCTTGGAAGATTCTTTCAATAACTCTGGGTCCTGCTCTACCTGCTTCACCTCCTTAACAATAATTTTGGGTTCTGCCATTTCAATTAGTCTTTCCACCTCTTCAATCTTGTTCTTCACTTTCACTATGGCTTCTTCAGCAGACTTCCTCTTGAAGGATTCTTCATCGATTTGTAGCTGCAGGGTCCTAACAGACTTCAGCATTTCTGGGTTTTTCTCCAGTTTGATCAGTTCCTTCACCACCACTTTCTCCCGGATATTGGGCTGCTTTCGCTCCAGCATGTGCAGCTCTCTCTTATGCTGCTCAAGTTCAGAAGCAGCAGCCAAGCTTTCCTCCTGGAGACGTTTGATCTCCTGACGAAGACTGGCTGCTTGGCTATCCAGGCTTGGATCCTTCTCAATTTTTGTGATCTCTTTGGTGAGGAGCTGGGCAGGAACAACCTTCTTCTCACTCTCCAGCTGGGCAAGCTTCCGGCTCATTACCTCAATGTCTTCTTGCAGCCTCTGCCTCTTTTTGCCTTCCTCTTCAATCTGCTGTGCCATCTTAGACAGGTTGCTCTCCACCTGTGGGTCTCTGTAATATTCTATCACCTCCTTTTCTTCTACTCTTTCGATGGGCTTCTTAGTCTTCAACATTAGCAGCTTGTTTCTGTGTTCTTCTAGGTCCTCTTCAATCTCAGCCACTTTCCTCCTTTCCTCCTCCAGCTGTGATTTCAACCCCTCAGATTCCCTCCTCGTCATGGCTTTGTTTTCAGATTGCTGGGTTTGCTCATGTACAGCTTCAATGTCCTCATGCACTTCCTTCTGCATGGGGAAAAAAAAAAAATTAAAAAAAAGGACAGGGAAACTGAGTCACTCTGAATCTGGCACAGGGGCCTTTTCCATGACAAGGCATGGCAGGATACAGAATTCCCAGGGAGCCTCCACATAAGGCTATTTGTAAATGGCAAATGAAGACACATTCCCACCATCTCAAGCAACTGACTTGGTGTGTCTTCCCTTTGTCATGGAGGTGCTGCAGCAGCCCACAAAGGTGCTTTGTGCTGCCTTGTATCTGCAGCTGAGGGTGGGTAATGTGGCCAGTCCCAAACAGTTCATGGTAGCATCACAGTGTGCCCCAGTTTAATCTTTTGTCCTTCCTGAGCACACTGAAAGCCATCGAGAGAAGAGGCCTTTCCTACAGGCCAGTCAAGCTCTAGGAAGGTATAAAGGTTCTACTGCTTTGAAGAGTTTTCAGAAGGTCATGAGCACTAGGTTCCAGCCACATCCACAGGCAAATCTGAAGTTCACAGTTCTGTCTGTGAACATTGATTAGATATAGCTGAGAAAAGGACTTAAGAGCCCTGCTCTTTTTTTTCTTAGCATCAATTACAGCTTCAGTAAAGAGCTGAGGGCTCACAGAGGTGAAAGTCACGACCTAAAAGTCAGAGTCGGTTACTCGTGGTCTTTTTCTCATGGGGGTTTCCATTCCTCTCCTTTCTCACACCTGGATGTGGAGACTCAGGGAAGGGTTGGGGGATCCCAGGCTAAACAGATTGCTGATGGCTTTGGAAGGATCATTTCAACCCCCAGGTTTTGCAAGAACTGTTAGCTGATACCTTCTCAACAACCTTCTTGGCAAACTCCAGCCGGCTGAGCTGCTGTTTATTTTCTGCTGCCAGCTCCATGTAGAGCTTGGTTACATCATTTTCCTGAAAAAGAAACAGTGGTGAGAGCCTTGTCCCCCTCACCTGACCCAGCTCTGCTGGAGGGCACACTCTCCCACCCCTCCTTTCACCTGGATGCACTCTGTGTACTGCACTATTCCAGGGTTTAGTGTCTTCACATCTGGCCTTCTAGAGAGACAGAGTCTAAGGACTCATTTAGGAGATCCTGTTCTGTTTGTTTGAATGCCTGCTAGATGCTTGCTGGCCTACACAGGGTCTAGACTTCCCAAATCACCTTGGGCCACACATGCCTGGCAGGTGGCAAAGTGCTCAGGGTGATGCAGGAGAGCTGGGTGTGATTGGGAAGAGCACAGAGCAGCTCTGGCTTACTCCTGTCCCAACACACCTAGCCTATAAGTTTCATCTTCACACAGTAAGGAGGCATCACCAGCAATCTCAACCAAAGGTAGCAGACACACCCCTAATTCTGGATCTCATGTGCTGCTCAGGGATAGGCACAAACAGATCTCTCACGAAGAGATCCCTGATGACCTTTGTCCTTTGGATCAGCTGTGGCTGTAAGAGTGGATTAAAACCTTCCAGGGGACATGGGGCTTGGGTAAGGAGCTAGACAATGGTTTCCAGGCCTTCATCTTAATATTTTACCTGAGCCTGGATGCTTTCCTGTAGGGGGGTCACACGCAGCCTCTTTGCAGCAGAGTCAGTCAGGGTGGGGTCCAAAGAAGAGCTGTATTTGCCTGCTTGGAGTTCATAGTCCTGTGCAGAGCAGAAACAGAAGAATCAGGTGGGATCTCTGAAGTGACACACTGAGGGAGCACTACCTGGGGAAACCCAGCCGTACGTTGAGCGTGGACTGCACGTTCCTGGACAGTCTGACCATTGCGTCCTTCTCCGGCACCTTGCCTTCGATCTCCTCCACCAGCCTCTGCAGCAGACACACATGAAGTTAAGGACAGGTTGAAATACAGTAACCAGTAAGACTCATGCAGTAAGACTCTTGGTCTACTGTTCAGTCTAATAATGGAGGGAATGGTGGGAACAGGACATTTAGGAAGAGTCTCCAGGGCTTTGAAGGGTCTCAGCAGCACTCTCACTTATCCAGAAATTATCACACTGATTTATCATGTATGAGATAAACACCAGCCAACACAGGGACCTCAAGTCTCATCATTTGAGCTAGTCAGCTTAGGATCTACTCAAGGAGAAAAAGATGCAGGACCCAAAGGCAGCATCTTAGCCCAAGGTGCAATCTTTCAGGATCTGGGTGTGTCCTCTCCACTGAAGAGGATATCAACCTGGGGGTGACTAGCACAGATGAGGACACCAGCACTGTAGATGAACACAGTGGGACAAGATACATCATCTGTGGGCTGCAATCCATTGTCTCCTTGTTCTAGTTCATTCACTGTGACGAGGGGAGCACACAGCTAGGAGCTGGTTGATAATATTTTGCATATTGTTCACAAGCAAATTCCCCATTCCTGTGTCATCACAGGTTACAACGCTTGCCCTGGAACACACCTTCTGTGCCTGCAGCTTGTAGTTGATCTGACTTGGCCCATCAGTGGTTTTCACTTGGTGCTTGGGTAGGTTATTCATCCAGAACATCAGGTTCTCATTGGAGTTTTGAAACTGCTGGTAGGTGAGGCTGATATTTCTGAGGGTCTTCTCTCTGCCCAGCACAAAGGTGAACAGGAACATTAAGGGCAAGGGTACAGATTCATGTCTAAGTTCCTAAGAAGACACTATGGTGAGAATGACACCACAACAAACACCAAGATAACAAAAGCAAGGAAGGGACAACTGGTACACAGCCGGTTTGCTACCACAGCATGAACACATCTTAGGAGATGAGAGAAGGAAAAAGGCAGACAACCAGCAGCCTGTGAGAAATATAAAGCACCAGAGTCTCTCTGGGTACAGTCACTGGGTCAGGCAGAGGCCAGCAGTCAGCTACTTAAGACTGACTTCTCTCAGCCATGTGCAAGCTCAAAGCCCCTGCTGTGCATAGGAAGGCGGCGACTACACACCAGCACAGACCTGGTCCCCAGTATTACAGCAGAGTGGTCAGGGTCCTGCAATGGAGAACATACTCTGCGTAGTGCTGGCCCACGTTAGCTAAGCAGAGCAGAGATGATGCCACAGTTCCTCACCGCTGATCCAGCTGGTCTGCAACAGCGTGGTAGCGATCGTTGAGGAGCTGCACCTCCCGCTTCTGGCGGGGCAGGTCAGGGCAGTACTCCTGGAAGTTGTTCTGCACGGCGCTGCAGCTGTGCTCAGCATCCTTGAGCCCCCGGTTCAGCTTCAGCACACAGTCCTCTTGGGCCACCAGGTCCCGCTTCATCTTCTGCAAGGGAAAAAGGAAAAGCAACTCCAGGTTTGCATCAGTTGATGCACCAACCAGAAATACTCTCCTTAACTCCGCCTGTGCAGCACCTGGGGGCCAGTGAGGCTCTCCAAGATGGACCTTGTTGTGTGGAAGAGATGGAGCAGTGAGACTTTCTCCGTAAAAAAAGGTGGGCAGCAAGGTGGGTTGGACAGTGAGTGGAGCAGAAGGGAGGAGTTTTGGAAGAGGCAAAAAAGGATCACTGTGAACACTAGTTAGGAATGGATAAGGATGAGTGGGAGGCAGAGCAGCAGAGGTTAGATGCTAAGGGGTTCATCCTGTATTTTAGGTGCCCCAAAGGCAACCTGAGAGTGACGAAGCTTTTTGGTAGCCAGCAAGTGCAGGTCATCTTGCAACACCAACGTAAATCCCTCAAGGAACAAGTCCCTAGAAAGGCTTCACCGTTGGTGCCTTGAGGTGCTCAAATGAGCCCAGTCCAGCTTTCCTCACCATTGCTACCTGAGCTCAGTGATCTTCCTTCAGTAACAAAGAGCCTGATGCTCCTACCTGCAGATCATTGGCTCGATCCTGCAGAGCATTGGGGGATGCAGGAATGATGCTATCCTGAGCCAGCTTGGCCTCAAACGTGCTGACTATCTTGTCTGTGTTCTCAATCTGAGTCTCCAGGTTCAGGGCAGCCTTAGCTCTGGGGAAAGGTAAAATGACAGGACAAGGTTAGCTCCAGAACACCCCATTCTCCTCTTTCTCTCTCTGATTTTACATGTTTAAGCTTATTTAGCATCAGGGCTTCTGCAGCATGGCAGAGAACAAGCAATATGCACCCACAACTCTGTCATGCTGGTCAAAAGTTAAATATATTGCTTTTCCCCCACACAGAGCAGAGCTTGGACACACACCCATTGTGGTAGACCTTCCGTAGTAGGGGGATCTGACAACAGATTACGCAGGAACTCCTTCAGCGGTGCCTTTGGTGATAGATCAGAGATTTCCAACCTGCACTGGGCTAGATGGACCTCAGCCAAACCCGTATAAACCAAAAGCATTTTCTCTCACACTTCTGTGTTGACACCTCTGTGCAAAGACTTCCTTCCCTCCATCCCCATCAGGCCTTGCCAGCATCACTCACTTCTCATTGTACAGGCTGGAGAGCATATTGACATCATTGTATTTGCTCCTGAGGGCATTCAACGTGACAGGGAGCTGGGAAGCCGAGGTGCTGGTGGGTTTCTTGGAAAGGTAAGTCTCACACTCCTTCTGCAAGGCATCCTTGGCTGCCCCCAGGTTCTCCAGTTTCTTTGTTGTTTCCTGGCACAGCAGATGGGAGCAGAGTCACTCAACACAGTCATAACAGTGCGGTTGTGAAAGGGTGTCTCCCTCTGGGGTGGATTTTGCCATGGGGCTGAGGGTGTGGTGGCCCTCTCATATGGAGTTGGCCCTTGGGGCACAGCCCCGTCCAGACTGTGGCTGTCTGGCAATGGCAGGGTATGGGAAAGAGATCCAAACAGGTGGAGATGGAAGAAACCCACCTGCCTGCGTCCAGCCTCCTGCCAGGGCTGGATAAATACCCACAGATGAGGGTGTAACAAGGGCAACTACTACAGACTCAGCCCGTATGGCAGAAGAAAGGAGGGGAGCTCCAGGGCACTGCCTCTTCCCCTGTCCCCCTCACTTCTGCAGTCTGTACTCCACATCAGGTGAGCCCAAGTTGGTCCTTGGAGTAACTCCCCCTATTTGGAGTCTTTCAGGCTACAGACTTGAGAGTGAAGGGTGACAGCATCCCTATGACAAGGCTGAGGACTCCTCAAGATTGGTGCCTGGTCCACATATCTGAAATGAATGGACCATCTTGCTGCAGAGCTGACAAGGGAAGAGCCAGCATTTCTCCAGGGTGTGGCTTAATTTGTCCCATACACCAGCCTGAAACCCTTGCAACTGCAGCATGGTTTTCTCCTTTAAAACACCAGCTGTCATCTTCCATGTAACTCCTGTGTCAGCCTGTTTTGGGTGAAGAGACAGCACTACCAAACCCATCCTGCTCCAGCCCGCCTGCCGCAGCACCCACCTGCTGGTGTTTGATCCTCCTGGCAAGGTCCTCTGTGGGGTCGCTGTAGTTCACTGGAGACCTCACTCTGTTCAAGACCTCCTTCTCTACCTGAACCAGGTCCTTGCCGACACGATCCAGGCTACTGAGAAGCTGGTCAGCTTGGGGATCATCCTGGACTACAGGGGGGCTCCTGGAGAGAGCTGCAGTGAGACACAGTTTAGGTAAATCCCCATTTCTCATCTGCCATCGAAGTCCTAGTGCACAGCCCTTTCCCAGAGCTCTCCCACACATAAAGCCCCAGCTCCACCTCATGACAGAGCTGCTGCAAAGCTCTGCCCTTTGTGTTTAGCCACCTCTGAAGCACACCAGCTTCTCCTGAGCATTGGTTTTTGATGCAAGCATGAACAAGTTAACTGTTCTAATCCACAGAGCATCACTCACGTGCACATGCCTACCCACAGCAAGGGCTTAGGAAAATGATTTTAGCTCTGCCCTGGCCAGCCAGAGCTCAAGTCCAAGGAAGGGACAAGGACAGCCCTGTGCTGCCATGCGAACACACCCCTGCTCACCTCTGCTGGGAGCTTTGGAACTACAGCTATGGGAGTAGCACAGCTAGCCAGGGGTTGGGACTTGGCCACAGCTGCCTGCACATTCCACAGCCCCCAAATAGGGGAGAGAGATGTGAAGGACCCAGATCCCAAACAAGATTTTATTAAGGTTTCTGGATAGGCACATCCCCCTGCAACCATTGATGGAGCTGGAGGAATCTCAGAGGTCTGAGATGGGCAACAGAGAGATAAAGTTAATTGCCTGATATTTAGACTAGATATAAGGAAGAAAGTTTATATACTGAGGGTGGTGAGCCCCTGGCCCAGGTTGCCCAGAGAGGTGGTCGCTGCCCCATCCCTGGAACCATTCCAGGGGAGGTTGGCCGGGGCTCTGAGCAACCTGCTCGAGTTGCAGATGTCCCTGCTTCCTGCAGGGGTGTTGGACCAGATGGCCTTTAGAGATCCTTTCCAACCCAACCATTTCGTGACCATGCAGTGAGTCCTGGGCAGCACCAGGGGTCAGGTTATCCCATTGGCTGCTTTTTTGCCTGAAGCATCCCTCACAGCGACCCACAGGTATCCCTGCCTGCCTCAGGGGGTGCTCTTCTTCCAGCCACGTCTGGAAGTCCATCCACAAGGCAAGTGCATGGGCGTGCTGGGGAGAGGGCTTGGCCAAGCCTCTGGTGTACCTTGCTGGCTGGGTTGAACCTGCTCCTTGTGGCTGCGTCTCAGGGTGCTCAGAGCTGCTGCTCGCTTCTGCTTCACCGTGTTCAGTTCCCCTTCCAGCCTGCGAGCAGAGAGAAGCTGGATGGAAAAAGGCTGTGCTGGGCAAGCCTTGGCAGAGCCCAGCCCAGCAGCAGCTCCATGCCTCTGCCAGGGAAGGTGGGCCCCAAGGTGGGGGGAGAAGGTGTCCCCAAAGGCAAGGGTGGGCTGGGAGCCTGCAGCCTGTTGTAACTCATAGATAGAAAGGACTGATGGAAGCAGGTGGAGGGGGCCTTTGAAGGACCAGGCTAGTTCACATCCCTGCCATGGATTGCTCCAGCTCAACACCCTGCTCTAAAACCAGCAAGTCCCAGCTTGCCTGGCTGTTGTCATACCAGGACTGTCCCTCTGTGGGGCCAGGACATAACTCCAGGCAGAGGGCCTGAATGATGGAACAGGCTGGGAAATAAAACAAAGGCAAATATTTTGCATGTAGGAAGGGAAACTAACAGTGGGAAATGAAAGAAGCTGTCAGATGTGGCCTGAAAATGTCAAGAGCTTTCTAACCAACACCTGCAGAGCTGCTACCCGGGAGGACACTGCAAAATTTTTCTTTTCTGTTGTAAAACACACATGAAACCCATCAATCCCCAGGATGTGAAGAGCAGTATGCACTCAGGAAGAGCAGCACAATGGAGTAGTCGTGTCCATGTGACAGGGGACCCGACAGCCATCATGGGCATGCCCAAGTGACTCAGTCTGGGCTGTGGGCTTCTCCACAGCACTTGAGCAGCACCAATTTATCCAAGCACCCAGGGACGTGGTAAAAAGGCAATGCTGCCTGCACTACCACCCCCTCCTGTGGGAACCACAGAGGCTGAAAGAGCAGCCAGGCAGTAGGTACACGGTGGTTCAATGAATGGCTCTCAGTCTCCAGCTGAGGCTGGCTGAGAGGAGATACCACAGATAACACTGTCCTGTTTGGCAGGTCCCAAACTCCAGACTGATTCTGCAATGAATTTAGTCAAACCTATGCGAGTCACATGTTTGAGTGAAGAAGTCAAGCCTAACTGCCAGAATACTCTGACAGCCGTGTCCGTGCAGCACTCAGTGCTGTCGAGGAATGGCAGGAACCTGGACGAGATGCTTGGGTGCAGGGGACAATCCCTCTCTGGGAAGGACTCATACCAGACAACCAAGAGGTCTGTTCCCAGCTCTGCAGCTGAGGCAGTTAGGCTGGCTGCAACCTAAGAGCAAGTCTGAACATCTCTTTGGGTCAGGCTCTCCACTGCAGACTCACCTATTGACCTTGTCTATGGACTCAGGGTCTGGTGGAGGGATGGAGAAGCAAGCAGAAGGTGCCTCCTGGACTACACCAGTGCTGCTCTGTACCACCCACATCTCCGGGTTGCTGTTGTCCTTCAGAGTGTACTTGTCACCTCTGGTCAGCTGCACCTGGACAAAGACACGAAACCCAGTGAAAAGCTTGGCTTCCCAACACCAGGCTCCCCCCACAGAGCCAAGATCTTGGTTCCTTTGGAGCAACCAAAGAAGAATCCAGTTGCCTGTCCCATCTGAGGGTAGTGTTAATCAAGCCTTCACCTCTCCAGCATCCCAGTCACAGAGGGTGTCCAAGGTGAGGATCTGGGAGGGACGCATCCTGCGCAGTTTTAGTGGGCTGATCTCTTTGCTCCTTCTCTTCAGGTCAGCGATGCTCTTTTCTGCTTGCTTCACCACCTTCTCCTCATTCTAGATAAAACAGGGAAGAGAGTGGTTGCAATCAGACTCGGATGAGAAGGAAGGGGAGGGGGTCACACTACAGTGGGTGTCCTAGGGCCAGTTGTCCACCCTTGTGTGGTCACTGCTGGGATGGAGTCTGAAGTGTCTTCATTCTTGACCACTCTGAGCCCCTTCCTCCTCTTTTCATTTGCAACACTCTCCTCGATTTCCTGTGCTCACAGCAGATCTGCCCTTGAAGGCACAGCCTGAGTTAACCTTAGGTGATCCCACACTGTCATATTAAATCTCCTAAAGAGGGAGGAAGAGGAGCAGACACCTGCCAAGAGGCAGCGACATTCCAGCGTCAGAAGGTACTGAGATTCCAGCATCTCCTGGGAGCTAAATGAGTTGCATGTAGGGGAAGATACCATGTCCTCTCCCTCTCTCCAGGGCAAACGTTCCTTTCCTATCTGCATCTCACCCCTGAGGTCAGAGTTCTTTATTCCTTCCCTCACCCTTGGCTCATGAGAGTGCTGAGGAGATAGGAGGACCTTCCCCCATTGCTTGGATGCCAGCACCTCATGCTGTCTACAGGCCCTCTAATCCAGGTGTCTCATGTTGAAGACAACACACAGCTCCTCCCACGCTTCTCCTTCACTCTGATGGTGACCCGAGGCCTGGATGTGAGTCACTGATGGAGATAAGTGTCTCCCCAGGGGTCACTGCCCTGCAGTGGGGACCTTCTGGGACTACAGGGACTCAGCACGGTATTGCCAAGGGTTTCTCCCTCCCCAGTACAGAGCTGGGATGAGCTGTCCCAGGTTATTTACCCACCTCTTCCCCTTCCCCACAGTTATTTACTGGGCAGGCTGCAGTGTTTGGTCTGCCCCTTGAGTCTAGCTAGTGCCACCAGCCCTGAAGACCTCACCTCCAGCTGAAGCAGCAGATCTGACACCACCCCAGGGCTGTCTTTGTTGAATTTGCTGTATTTGGTGTCCAAGTCAGAGTTCATCTTCTTCAGGGAGCGACTCACAGCCTCAGCATCATCCTGGAACTGTGGGTAGGGATAGGAGGGCGTTACCATCTTCAAGCCTAATGGGGTCGATCAGTTCCCAGCAGCTCTCCACAATCTCCTGGGGCTCACAAGACCCTACAGACCACCCTCAGAGTGGCTTGGACGAGAACCCTCCATTGCCTGAGCCACAGGCAAATAACCCAAATCAACAGACAAGTCCCAGGTAAGGACAGTGAGCAAACCCTCCCCTGCCCCTCTTCTCCAAGCTGGCATACTAAGACAACAGGGCTGATGAGGTGAGCTGGGAGCCAGTCCTTCACTGCAGCACTAAGGGACTGTGTTTTGAGAGATGTTTCCCCAAAATACCCTGGCGAGGTCCAAGCAAAGGATCTCAAATCCTTATCCCAGCCTGCCCACTCTGGCCTGACCCTGCAGCCCCACATCCTGTGCTCTTCTTGTTGTTTTTTACCTTCTTATAGCTCTCCACGCTCTTCAGTTGACTCTCTTGGCAAATGCAGAGATTCAGGAAATTCTGCCACTCGTTCTTCAAGGCTTCCTGGTGAGCCTGTGGTGGGATGGAGCACAGCTCAGTGGGTTTCAGATAGTTCTACCTCCACCACTACTGGTGTCCTTTCCCAGAGATCAAGGGAAGAGTAAAGACTGCTGTTGAGCAGAGGCAAAGCTACACCCAGGCATTCACCTGATGCCCCCTCAAGGTCACTGCTTGACAAGGACCTCATACAGAGCAGCCACCACCTCTCACCACCTCAGCTTGCCATTGTGTGTGCAGGCTTGGAAATATGACCTTGGAGGCTGGGACCTGGTTTCACTGCAGAGTAGTCATGCTATGGCATAGCTGAAGTTTCAGGGCAGCATGAACATAGACTTACAGAATCATAGAAAGCTTTGGGTG